TGATGTGATGTGATGATGTGAATCCTGGACTGTGCCTTCGTTGTTTTCTGAGCAGATATTTCATTCTATTTTACTGCTGAAATGACCACACGTGCATTTTAGGACCTGTAGAAGGTGTGGAGACCTACTGGAGATATATCACTCCATGGAGGCTGGAAGACCCAGGTCCCAGTTAATCTTGACAGACTTTAGAAGCGGGCACTCGTGAGACTGGCCACCTGCACAGTAACTGTAAGCATAGCGTTTGTCTCACCCCGTGGGACCCATCGTCCCAGTCATGTGTCCACCCAGAGGCGCTTCTGAAGCAGTGCAGTAGCTAGGCATTATTTGTAGCCCGGGTGACAAAGCGGGTGTCCGTGTAGGCGGAGTTTGCTCTTCATGCAAGCTGCGTATCAGCCAGCGAGCGGCTACAGCTTGTGCCAACTGGTACGATAGTAATTAAAACAACAACAACAACAATGAATATATATAGTATTCTCCTGAAGTGTGAGTTTATCAGGTGATATTTAGTTAATTTATGTTTCTATTCAATCTTCTTTTGGAATAAAGCTCCTTCTTTTCCCCGCTCGTTATCATTTCCACCCGGATTGTCGACCGGCTGACAGAAAAGAATTCCGCCACAGTGTCGAACCTGTCAATTACGTCATACCAAACCTCCTGAACTGGGTGTGTTTGTCAAATCTGATTGGAGGATGAAAGAGAAGGGCGTAATCCTCTAGTGTGATTGGCTGACATGTTCAGCCCGCGTCAGGTGATTGGTCGGTCGTTTTAGCCGTACTCTGAACTTAGCTAACGCCATGTAGCATCAACCCCGGCTGCAAGACGAAACTTATCTATTCGTACCTCTTTTCAGCAGATTAATAAATAAGCAAGTATCAGATGCAACTAAGTGTTTTATTTTATACTGTATTGTATTCATATTCTTGATGCGTGCCTTTGATGTGTTTAATATATCGTTAGAAAAAGAAAAACGCTAATGTTAGTATCATTTAGCTGTGATGTAGCTAAACGGAACATTAGCTTCTCTGTTTAGTAAATCGTATAATTTTGTTTACTGAAAGCCAGTCGAGCTAAATGACCAAAAATTAGGGCTCTTAATGTTCCATTTTACTACCCGACTGCTTTTACTTTTGTCACGAATCAAAGTTTGAACAAGCTACAATTAGCGTTAGCATGCTAATCTGTTTATCAAGTGGTGTTCAAATGTGTAAGCGTGCTGTCTTTATTAATAATCCAGTAATAAATCTCACCACTCGGAGCTGAAAGGTAGCTTTCTGTCACAAAGTCCAACTAGTCTGACATAAACCTTTTGTCTGTTTCCGGTGTCAGGGTGGTATTTCAGTAGAGTTATGGGATAATAGGCCTGGACGTTGCGTGTTGTCAGGCCACAGCTGAACTTGTTTACAGTGTGTACTGTTTCTTTGTTTGTTTACAGAGTTCCAGTTAAACGTGTCAGGAAGCAGCACTTTGTCTCCAACATGTCTTATGGCAACGCAGAGTTCCGCCCTGTCCCCAGGGACTTCAGCTCCCTCATTCAGACCTGCACCTCCAACATCCAGAGGATCACACAGAACAGTGCGTTACCAGGATTATTGCTTCTGTTTTCTGATGAAACCAAAGCCCTCATGTTACTCATGTGATCGTGCTGCATACCGTTGCTCTCCACTTCGCTGTGCTGTTTAATAAAGAAAATACTAATCCTTACCGTCTTTAGTACCTCTGTATTCAGAGTGTTTTTATTTTATTTTTGTAGCAGTTGCTTGATGTTCATTGACGGGTTGTGTTGGATTCAACAACTCCAACAATCCAGGGCCACTATCCTGCATGTATTTGTTGTTTCTTGCACCGTTTCCTCTTCAGCATGTCTTCTTGTTCTGCAGCAGCCCATTAATCACCCACTTATTCAAACCAGGTAGCTTGTCCGGTGGCTCTGTATCGAGCTTTGGTTAACTTGGTATGTCCGTCACTACATAGTGAACACAAGATACTCATAGGTAGTCTTCTGTGGTGTGAAATTTGTTGGTTTGTTCTTTTTTATTGTGGCAACAGGAAAGCTCTGCCATGATCCAAACATGTTTTTAAGACTTCTTATTCAATTTTCTTGACAGCTGCTCAGATCAAGACCATGGTTAGCCATCTGGGAACCAGCCAGGACAGCAGTGAACTTCAAGATCGTCTGTATGTTGAACTATTCCAAATGCTCTATCTGACAAAACACAGATTAGTTACCTCATTCTGACACTCGCAGAAAATCCAGGGCTAATTAAGTTTAGATTTATTGTTAAATTGAACCAATTTTATTTGCATGGACTAACATTCTGTTCTTGTTTCTGTGGTTGGGTTGATTTATTCACTCATTGCGTTTACAGGCAGCAGATACAGCACTACACTAACCAACTCGCAAAAGAAACCAACAATCACCTGAAGGAGTTGGGCTCAATCCCTCTGCCCTTATCCCCCTCAGAACAGGTCAGTGCATTTGTTGATGACGCCTGCGTAGAGCTTTAAACCTGTTTTTACATGCAGTGAAGAAGGGCAGCGTTGTTTTTCGAAAGGTGCATTGAAGATCTTTTGAAAATATATTCATTAGATCTGATGATCTCACCTACAAACCTGCTGTATGCATCATTCGAATAAGGAAACTAAGGACTAGCAGTGTTGCAAAGATGGTTTAAAAATCACCTCTGTACAACAGTTCTGACTCATTAACACATGAAGAAAGTGGGAGTAAAATGTCTGCATGTTGTAGAGGATGATGAGCGTTTAGTCACTGTCACAAAGGCAACTTAGTTTCAGAAAATCAAGCTGAGAAGTGGTCCTCTGTCTGCCATTTTATTTTACAGACATAAAATATTTTACATTGCCATCAAAGTCTATTGCAACAAATCGGTAGTTGGTGTAAGGAGGAGGTGGAAGAGAGTCTGGAGAGGTGGTGGTATGAAATGTAAGTCAGTAGACGTCTGACAGAATCCATGTGTGAATGAGAGGTAGACATGTGTAAGAGTGAAGCTGAGGGGAGCAGAGGTGTTGAAGGTGGACGAGTTAAAGAACCTGAGGTCAACCATCCAGCACAGACACACAGGACAGTGGAGGGAGACAGGTGTGGAGCTGGTTTGTGATAGAACTGTGAGCCTGAGGGGGAAGGTTTACAAGATGAAGACGGTAGGACTAAGAACGAGGCAGGCGTGCAGAGCTGCACGTGATGACGATGTTAATGGGATCTCTAACTGCACATATTGGCCTTAAAATGTAATTTCTCTGTTCTACTAAAAGTTGTTGTTGGTAACACATGAAAACTCTGAATTACTAAAAAATAATGTTTATGACATTTTTCACCTGAGGGCGTCTTCGTTATTTTACCAGAGCAATGCATTCTGGGGCGATGATGTACATCGGTTGTAGTGGAGACTAAAGCACAAGAAGTCACGGCTAAAAAGTTATAACGTGACAATAAAGTTATTGTTTGAATTAATTGTCCTTATGCACAATATATGGGTCGAAAAGATCAAACATGAGCAATCAATCCATCAATCATCTTTTACCCGCTTCTTCCTTTTTGGGTCGCGGGGGTCACTGGTGCCCATGTCCAGCAGTCACTGTGTGAGAGGTGGGGGACACCCTGGACAGGTCCAGTCCATCACAGGGACACATGGAGACAATAATAATAAGTGCTATGTGTTGTCATCATTGTATGTTCCCATACAATGATTATATTGGTTCTCTGCATTTAACCCATCACGCCTGGGATACACCAGGTGGAGCAGTGGGCAGCTATGCAAGCGCCCGGGGAGCAATTAGGGATTAGGTGTCTTGCTCAGAGACACCACGACATGTGAGAATGGCTGGGGATCGAACCTGGGACTTTTGGGACCTGAGTCGGCTGCCCACCCTCTACCCCATGAGAGGTTCTGAGTCGATGAACCACATTTACAGTTAAAAGTAACAGATTATGATGAGTGATACACATAACCTCATTTAAATGAGTACAGTAGTCCCTCGCTACTTTATGGTTCTCTGTATCACAGATTTTCAAAGTAAGATTGGACATGACACAGTTGACTGACTGATGGATGAGCCATGGGTTGTTTATTTAAAATAAATTATTTTAAATGTTTTTGTACCAATTCAATTCAGTTTATTTACAGTGAGGAAAATAAGTATTTGAACACCCTGCGACTTTGCAAGTTCTCCCACTTAGAAATCATGGAGGGGTCTGAAATTTTCATCTTAGGTGCATGTCAACTGTGAGAGACATCATCTAACAAAAAATCTGTAAATCACAATGTATGATTTTTAAATAATTTATTTGTGTGTTACTGCTGCAAATAAGTATTTGAACACCTGCCAATCAGCAACAGTTCTGGCCCTCAAAGACCTGTTAGTCCTCCTCTATAACGTCCACCTCCACTCCACTGATTATTCTAAATTAGAAACACCTGTTTGAGGTCGTTAGCTGCATAAAGACACCTGTCCACCCCACACAGTCAGTAAGACTCCAACTACTAACATGGCTGAGACCAAAGAGCTGTCCAAAGACTCCAGAGACAAAACTGTAGACCTCCACAAGGCTGGAAAGGGCTACGAGGCAATTGCCAAGCAGCTTGGTGAAGAAAGATCAACTGTTGGAGCAATTATTAGAAAATGGAAGAAGCTAAACTTGACTGTCAATCTCCCTCGGACTGGGGCTCCATGCAAGATTTCACCTGGTGGCGTATCGATGATCCTAAGAAAGGTGAGGAATCAACCCAGAACTACACAGAGGAGCTGGTCAGTGACCTGAAGAGAGCTGGCACCACTGTTTCCATGGTTACTGTGGGTAATACACTAAGACGTCATAGTTTAAAATCATGCATGGCACGGAAGGTTCCCCTGCTTAAATCAGCACACGTCCAGACCCGTCTTAAGTTTGACCATGACCATTTGGATGATCCAGAGGAGTCATGGGAGAAAGTTCTGTGGTCAGATGAGACCAAAATAGAACTTGTTGGTCTTAACTCCACTCGCCGTGTTTGGAGGACGAAGAATGATGAGTACCATCCCAAAAACACCATCCCTACTGTGAAGCATGGGGGTGGATGCATCATGCTTTGGGGGTGTTTTTCTGCACAAAAGACAGGACGACTGCACTGTATTAAAGAGAGGATGACCAGGGCCACGTATTGTGAGGTTTTGGGGAACAACCTCCTTCCCTCAGTGAGAGCATTGAAGATGGGTCATGGCTGGATCTTCCAACATGACAATGACCTGAAGCACACAGCCAGGAGAACCAAGGAGTGGCTCCGTAAGAAGCATATCAAGGTTCTGGAGTGGCCTAGCCAGTCTCCAGACCTAAACCCTATAGAAAATCTTTGGAGGGAGTTCAAACTCCGTGTTTCTCAGCGACAGCCCAGAAACCTGGCAGATCTAGAGAAGATCTGTGGAGGAATGGACCAAAATCTCTGCTGCAGTAAATCTGGTGAAACACTACAGGAAACCTTTGACCTCTGGAACTGCAAACAAACACTACTGTACCAAATATTAACATTGATTTTTACTGGTGTTCAAATACTTATTTATAGTAGTAACACACAAATAAATTATTAAAAATTCATATACTGTGATTTCTGTTTT